GGAAGGAGGGGGGAGGGGAGACTGTGGGGGCCGCAGGGAGAGGAAGGTGGGCTTTGATGCTGGGCACCTGGGCCCAGGGGACTTTCTAGGGTGGACACAAACTCAGAGCAGGACCGCTAAGCGGTTGCGTGTCCTGCCCAAACACACTGGGAGGGTCCAGTCCCAGCTGGAACAGCAAGGGGACCGCGCCTGGCTCCAGGGCTGACAAAGGAGAGCCTGGGTAGGGCGGGGAGCCCTGGAGTCTGGCAGCTGGATTTGGAGGCCGAGGTGGGAAGCTTATGGGGGTCATTGTGGAACCAGTGTCTACACTCATAGCTGGCCTGGCCTGGGGATGGGGGACAGGTCCCACAGCTACACTGAGACGAATCTGGAGAAGCCCAACTCCTCCTCGGACATGTGCAGGGGAGGCATCGGGATCACGCTCCCCTCGGGGTCCTGGAAAGGGGCTTCCTCTTCCCCTGGAGTCTGTAAAGACAACGGGGTGGGGGTCGAACACAGAGCCCAGTTGGGGGAGGCGGTTCTCCAGGCAGTTGCTGTGTCCTCCCAGCCTGTTCCACGGGCTCCAGGCCTCTGTCCCTCTGCAGGGACACAGGCCCTAACGACGCCTCCTCTTCCCCCAACCCCAGGCTCTGCCCCGCCCAGTCCCTTCCCTCCCCCCGGGGAAGCATCCTCAAGGCTTTAGGCCGGGGTCTGGCCACAGCCATGGGCATCCTGTGGGCCCAGAACTCTTACAGCCTTGACCCCCCAACTAGTTATTTGGGAATTTTATGGACCAGAATAAAGAGGGTGTTTAAGGTAAGAACCGGGCTTCCTGGGTGAAATGGCCCATGTCTACGGATGGGTGGGTGGGCAGATGCTGGGGTGGCTGAGGAAAGAACCCGCCCCCCGCTTCCCTGCACTGTCAGGTTGGGGGATCCAGGCCCTGGGCCCCTTTGTCCGCACCTAGCTTAGATACTGGATCTCCGTGTAGAGGCTGGCAGAGGGCTTGGGGCTGGCAGGAGGCCCAGCGGGCCTGCAAGGCTGATCACAGCATCCCCGGGGTCCCCGCTATTCCCCAGCGTCTGGAACAGAGACTGGGTCGCAACAGCCCATCCTTGGCAGCAGGAATAGTCTATGGGGAAGGGGACGGGGAGGGGGCAGGCAAAGATGGGGAGGTCCAGGAGGGGTTCTGCCAGCGTGACTTGGGACAAGCCACTTCATCTCTGAAGCTCAGTGTTGTCAGATGTAAAACAGGGACAGTCATTTTTTCCCCTCTGGGTTATAATGGTATTCATGATAGCAACTCACCCCCCCCCACAAACGGGAACTTCTGGAGAGATTCCAGATATGTTTTCTAACTTTTTTTGGTTTTGGTGGGTAGTCTCACTCTGTTGCCCATGCTGGAGTGTGGTGGCACGGTCACGGCTCACTGCAGCCTCGACCTAATGGGCTCAGGTGATCCTTCTGCCTCAGCCTCCTGAGTATCTGGGATTACAGGCACACGGCACCACATCCAGCTAATTTTTGTGGTGGTATGTTGCCAGGCTGGTCTTGAACCCCTGGGCTCAAGCGATCCTCCCGCCTCAGTCTCCCCAGCGCTGGGATTACATGTGTGAGCCACCACACCCAACTGATTTGCTTTCCTTCTTGTTATTTCTGTCCTTGAAAGCAGAAAGGACAGACAGGCTGTGGGTTCAAAGATTCACTGAATAATAATGGCAGAGGAAAAATTCTTACATAGTCATAGGACTGAGCAACCCTTCTCGGATCAGAGAGAAAACAGGCCCAGGAAAGGGAGGCAGGTGGTCCAGAGGCAGCGGGGAAGCCCGTGCTCTGACCCAGGCCTGACTGCTCCCAGGGGTCCTCCTGTCAGGACTGCCAGGCCCATTCATCTGAGGCTCCCTCACCCCGGCAGGTGGGCAGAGCAGAATCTGGACTGGCTGAGGCCCCCAACCAGGTCTCCCAAAGGCGCAGCCTGCCCCGAGGGGTCCTGGCCAGCGAATTCTAGGGTCAGATGGGCACTGAAGCCAAAGAAAGCCGTTCCCATTTTCTGGGTATATATGGGGTTTGTCATCTCACCCTTTCCCAAGCGAAAGGGGAAAACGGAGGCTCAGAGAGGTCATGTGACTGGCTGGACATCACACAGCTGGCGAATGGCTGAGCTGGGACTGTCTGGCCCCAGACCCAAGCTCTGCCCCTACACCATGCTGCCTGTCCTGCCTCCTAACCAGACCCCTGCTTTTCTCGAGAGCTAGCTGCCAGGGCTGGGAATGGAGGTAGAAGTCTGAGCCTGTTAGAAATGCAGAAGTACACTTGATCTTAGCCAAAAGGCCGAGAGAGGCTGAGGTGAGTGGATTGCCTGAGCCCGCGGGTTCGAGACCCGCCTGGGCAGCAAGACCTCATCTCTACAATAAATCAAAAAATCAGCCGGGCGTGGTAGCGCGCACCTGTAATTCCGGCTACTTGGAAGGCTGAGGCGAAAGGATCGCCAGAGCCCAGCAGGTCGAGGCTGCGGTGGCCCGGAGCGACCACTGCACTGCAATCTGGGCGACCGAGTGAGACTCCAACTCAAAAAAAACCAAAAAACAAAAGGAAATGCAGAAGTGACACCTTCAGTCTACAGGGACGAGATAGGAATTAGGGCAGAATCCTCAGGGGAGGAGTGGCTGGGGGGGCAGGGAGGGGGAAGGAGATTTCCCTGATGCCACCAATCAGGGCCCTGCCCCTCAGCTCTACCCATGGTGAGGATGTTGCGGGGGAGGCCCTGGCACAGGGGAGATGGAGCTAGACCAAGGATTCCCGATGCCAGTCCCATTTCCCACAAACCCCGTATTTTGGCTTTGTGTCTCGATCCTAACCCAGCCGCTGCCGGCCCTGGACCACCACAAAGTGTCACAGCAGTCAGGCACACCCAAGGTCCAGTGTGACATGTGATCTCTTGCCTGTCTCTGTGCTCACCCTGTGGGCAGCCGCCCTGTCCAGCAAGCACAGAGGATTATTTCGGGTTGCCAGGTCCGCCAGATCCGTGGGACCCCCGTTTCTAGGCACTTGGAAGAGCGACAGAGAAACAGGGACGCCTTGGAGAGCCAGGGCCGAGTTCTGATTGGAGCCCAGTACCCCAGCCGGCCCCTGGCTTCCCAGAGTGAGGGTCTGGATGGTCCCACGTTGAGGGACCAGGGGTGTTCTGTGTCCTGAGGCTGGAGGTGGAGTCTCGGGTGGTGGACTCCATTCCTCAAAGCCTCATCCTTGGCTCTGGAGGCCAGAAGGCACTCAGGGCTGTGCACCAGCCCCTCAGACCTCAGTCCCTTCCCCCAGTGCTGCCTCTTGCAGGCTGGGTCACTGTGGGCAAGTTCATTATCCTCTCTGAACCTCCATTTCTTCCTTTGTAAAGTGGGAGAAAATAATACACCTACCTCGTGTTAGAATTGCAAACATTCAGTGACACACATAAAGCCCTGACACATAGTAGGTGGGTGACCATCCTTCTAGCAAAATCTCTATGGGAAGGAGAATGCTAATCTGACCCTTAATACTTCTCGCACAGTCTCTACCCACTTTGGGGGCTTTCTTGAGGCCAAGTCACACCCCCTTCCCTCTTTGACCTGAATGTGGGCCAAAGCCCCCCGCCCCACCCCTCCTGTGCTACCTCCGGACTCTGCTAAAAGCTACGGAGAAGCCAAAAGGAAAACACACCATGAAAAAGCAAAGGCCCTCAGCTGGCCAGTCCACGGGCTTCTGCCTCTGACCCCTGGCGGGGACATTGTATTTCTCCCTCCGGCCTCCCCTGCAGCTCCGTTGCCCGCTGGCCTGGTGCCCTTTCCTGTCTCCTCTCTGCCTCAGCAGGGACAGGGACAGGTGCCCCAGTCAGCAAAGCGACCCAGGCATACCCTCCCAGAGTGGGTGACCTCCTGGCACCCCAGCCCCTCTTCCGGAGCTGGGTGGGGTGCGCTCTGGGCCCCAGGATGCACAGCCCGGAAGCGGTGCTTGGAAGATGGCCTGCAGCGACCCTGTGTGGCCCCCATGGGTCCCCGTGACTTTTCCCTCAGTCTCCTCCGCCTCCTTTGGCCTTGCTGGGTTTCCTGAGGCAACAACAGCTGCTTCCTATGCCTGCCTGAGGTGCCTCCCCCAGACCCTCCCTGAGGGGACCAGGCCTCTGTCTTTTGTCCTCACTGGCGCCAGGAAAGAAGGCGCTGTGGCTAGGCCCCCTTTCCTCCCCTGGTTGGGAGCAGTGGCGTCTCAGTAAACAGCTGCAGGGGGGTAGGTGGGTGAGGAGGTGGGTGGGGCAGGTGGGCTCTGCCCCTCTGAGGAGTGCTGGTGTGGGACTGCAGAGTCTCTTCTTGCAGGGGTAACCTCTCTCCAGGAAGGCGGGCACTGGAACCCCCACGCCCTCTGGCCCTCGTCCCCAGAGCACCACCCTCAGCCTGGGTCCCAGGGCAGCCATGCCACCTCGGTCTCAGAGCCAAGGAATGCTCAGAGGAAACACCAGGTGTTCTGGATCTTGCTGACCATCACTCTGCTGTGCTGCCCAGGCAAGCCCTTTTCCCCTCTCTGGGCCTCAATTTCCCCTTCTGCGAAGGTCATGAGAGTCTGTGGTACCGGTGGAGGCCCTGGGCCCCACCCCTGAGGGTTCAGCTGGGGCTGGGCTCGGGGTGCATTGCTAATAGCAACCTGCCCCCCGGTGTACTGGAAGGTGGTTTCCTCCCATCGGAGAGAAAGATTGGACTGGGTGACCTCAAGGCTTCCTCTCGACTGACCAGCTCCAACGGTCTCTGATTCTAAAGGAGGGTGGGAAGGGGTGCTGGGCCTGGGAAGAGACATTCACACGGCTCCTGGTGCCCACCCTGCCTGGCACCTGGAGGGAGAAGAGGCATACGGAGGGGCACTCTGTCCTGCTTATGCCCTTGAGGGGATCTCAGGCAAGCCTTGCCTCTGGGCCAGACACAGAGGCCCGCCCAGGTAGAAAGACACAGAGGCAGGACCGGGGACTCCGACTTCCAGCCCCAGAGGGATCCGAGCTCGGACATCGCCACCTCCGTCCTTACCAGGTGTGAGAGGTAGACCTTCTCGTTCCTCTGAGTCTCTGCAGCCAGTTGCGCTGAAAGAGACGTAGGAGGAGCACCTTGAAGCCAGGAGTAGCCAGGAGTGGCCTATAGCTGCTCCCAGAGATGAGACTGGCCCCTTACACCTGGGATCAGGGGTTTCCTGCAGGGAGTAGGCAGATGGGGGGGCAGGGAGCCCCTTCCAACTCAGCCCCTTGGGAATGTCCTCAGCTCAGCCCCTGGCAGTCACCTGCTGAGAGCCTGGATCTGGCTGGGAAAGAAATCTGTGTACTCAGGTCAAACCCCAATGGGCATATAGGACCCCTGGCGTTTTCTTAAGATGCAGATTCTTGTCCAGTACGGTGGCTCATGCTGTAATCCCCGCACTTTGGGAGGACGAGGCGGGAGGATTGCTTGAGCCCAGAAGTTTGACACCAGCCTAGGCAACAGAGTGAGACCTCATCTCTTTAAAAAAAAATTAACCAGGTATGATGGCATGAGCCTGTAGTCCTGGCTACTCAGGAGGCTGAGATGGGAGGATTGCCCAGGAGGTCGAGGCAGTGGTGAGCCATGATCATGCCACTGCACTCTAGCCTAGTCAACAGCGTGAGACTCTGACTCAAAAAAAAAAAAAGCAGATTCTAATTCAGCAAGTGGGATTGGGGCCTGAGAGCCTGCAATTCCGACAGCCTACCTGGGGATATCACAGTGCCAGCTGGGACCACAGTTTGAGAGGCTAGGTGCTAAGTGGCCGTGAGGTTGTGACTGGGAATGCTCCCACCCTATATGTTCCCTCCCGGGCTCCTCAGAGGGGAACTGGGGACACGGGTGAAGCCAACGTTTCTTCATGGGGGACCACAAAGGGAGGAGCCAGAAAGAATGCCCAGGAGCCCCGTGGCCACCTTCACTGGACAACACTGTAGACACCCTCCCGGCTTCACCGTTTCCTAGCTTCCTAGCTACGCAAACACAGGGCAAGCTGCGCCTTGGCGCCTTGCCCTGAAAAATGGGTGCACACAGCAGCGTCGGGGAGAATCGTCAGACAGTGCCGGCGCCTGGGGGCTCTCACGACTGCCAGGTCAGTTCATCCCTTTCATCTGTCCCACCCAGCACGGAGTTACAAGCCACACGTGGCCATTGGGCACTGACATGCGACCACTTCACGCCACACCGGGGTTGGATGACCCAACATGGAAAGATGGATGTAGCATATGTATCACTATTGTCAGATTGCCTCTGTGTTGAAGTGGTAATGTTTTGGATATATTGAGTTAAATAAACTTTTTTTTTTTTGAATCAGAGTCTCACTGTCGCCCAGGCTGGAGTGCAGTGGCACGCTTACGGCCACCATAGCCTCGACCTGTGGGACTCAGGTGATCCTTCCACCTCAGCCTTCCAAGTAGCTGGAACTACTGGAACGTGCCACCACGCCTGGCTAATTTCTGGATTTATTGTAGAGATGAGGTCTCGCCAAGTTACCCAAGCTGGTCTTGAACCCCCTGGGCTCAAGTGATCCTCCCGCCTCAGCCTCCCAAAGTGCTGGGATGACAGGTGTGAGTCACCACCCCTGGGCAAATAAACTATATTATTAAAATTAACTTCACTAGTTTCTTTTTACTGTTTTTCGTGTGGCTACTAGAACATGTTAAATTACTCAGATGGCGTGTATTCTGTTTCTGTTGTGTATCCCTGATTTGAGGAAACCAAGGCTCAGGGTGGTTAGGTGACTTGCCCGAGGTCACACAGCTATGGAGTGGCAGAGCCAGGATTTGAATCCAAGCCTTTGAAAGCACCTCTAGAGACCCGGCAGCCGGAGTGAGGCCATAGTGTCCACCCCATTCAGGTTCACGTGTTCTGGCCTGCGTTTCCTCAGCAGTCCATCCCTACACAGGAGCCGACCTACAGACACCAGGTCACTGGGCTCCAGGGAGGGCTGTGACTGACCAGCTGGGACAGACAGGAAGGAGTTGAGGGACTCCCCCACGGGACTTGCTTTTTCTCAGTGTTGACCGCCTTGTGATTCCCTCAGAAGGGAAGAGCAGGGCTTCCAGCGCCCGTTTCTCAGATGGACACACTGAGGCCCGCAAGGTCTTTCCGGCGCTGGGAGCCTCCCGCCCTCCCCCCACCGCCCTGCTCACCTTCCTTCCTCCCCCGGAGCACGTGACTGCCGACAGCGATCAGGCCGGCGGCCAGCAGAAGGGCCAGCAGCACCAGGACCGGGGCAAGGATTCGGACCATCGGGATGGATGTCCTACAGGGACATGCAAGGAGTCGGGTGGTGGTCGCCAGATAAGCCACAGTCTATGTCCTTGGGGGGTCCCAGTTCTGGGCTGAGAAAGCCAAGCCCGGGGTGGAGTCCAACTCAGTGCGGCCAAGACTGGTGGAGCATGGTCGGTGACAGGCATGATCAAATCAGCGCAGACCCAGAAGCCAGACGGCGGGGTTCCAACCCCAGCCCCACCCCCTTCTAGACGAGTGATCCTTGGGCAAGTGACATCACCTCCCACGCGTCAGTTTCCTCCTCTGTAAAATAGCTGTTGTGAGGACGACACGGTTTGGGATGTGTAAAAGGCTCAGTCCAGTGCCTGACACAAGCCAGGTGTGATGTCAGTGTCAGCTGTTAAACTCCGCGACCACCAGCCCAGGCATGGTGGCTCATGCCTGTCATCCCAGCACTTTGGGAGGCCAAGGTGGAAGGATCGCTTGAGGCCAGGAGTTGGAAGCTGCGGTGAACCATGATCAAGCCACTGCGCTCTAGCCTGGGCAACAGAGCGAGACCGTGTCTCCAAAATAAAAATAAAAACCCCACAACCCTTGTGTAAATGGGCAAGAGTGGCCCAATTTCACACTGGGGAAACCGACGCTTGAGAGATGAGGGGACTTGCCAATTGCACGGTGGTGTGCAGAGGAATTCCCAGAGGCCTGTATCTGGGTTGGCATCACTTAGCATTCTTATCCTAAGTCCAGCCATGTCCCTTGTCTCTCCTGAGATCAGAGAGCACTGGGACCACAGTGTCTGGTCAGCCCTGTCTGGTGTGGAAGGATCCACCCCCTCTGCTAATCCCAAGGTCCTCTCACAGCTGGATCTGGACCTGTCAGCAGTGGCTGGACATCAGCGACCGAGAGCAGTCATGACCCCCGAGAGCCGACGCCAGCCCAGTCTCACTCCCATCTTCCTGATTCAGGGAAGGAAGAACACTTTTTCTTTTATGCACAGCCCAGGGCAGGGGCAACGCGTGCAGGCAAAAGCTTCTGAATGGCGTGGCTGCTGAGGCTGGGGCAGTGAGGGAGGTGAGGACAGGGGCCCGGGCGCACCTCTGCCTCAGGAGGGCCTGCGTCCAGGGCTGCTGTGGTGCAGATGTCTGCTGCTCCAGGGCCCCTGTGAGGGTGGACAGGGCTGAGATCTGCCCTGTGTGCCACAGGTGTGGCCACGGCCGGAGGATGTGTCCGCATGGAGGAAGGTGTGTGGGGTTCCCATTTGCCCTACGGTTTAGGGACGGCCTGAAAGATAATGGTGGTCTCCTGGGGCTCACCTGGGCTTGGAGCTGCCGCTCCTGGGCGCAACACTGGTGTCCCTGGCTGTGGTGGAGTCGAGCGGCACGGCCAGAGGGGAGCTCCCTGCATGAGAGGTCCCCACGTGAGGAGGGGTCCCCGTGTGAGGGGGGGTCCCCGCATACGGAGAGGTTCCTGCGTGTCGCGGGGTCCCTGTGAACGGACGGGCCCCGGCCCCTGTCTTCCCCTGCGTGGCCGTGGTGACTGCCGGGGAGAGAGCAGCAGACGCTACAAGTTCAAAAACAATGCCTCAGTGCCTTCCTGGCCCCTGTCTTGCTCACATTCCTGACCCTGACCTCGATCCCAACCCTTCTCCTCCCCAGACCCAAGTTCTCAGAACATCCCCGGGACATCCCAGCAAGCAAGCAGGTCTACATGGAGCTGCGGGGAGCAGGCGGGCCGGACACTGGACTCGCCCACACCTGGGCAGACCCTGCAGCCTGCTTCTGGGCAAAAGCCTGCTCCCCCGTGGGGCGGGCCCGTCGCCCCCACCCCTACTTCCACAACCTGTTCTGGTGGCCATGTGGTGGATGCCATCCTGCCCTCCCCTCACAGTCCTGGCCGGTGATCACCTCCCTCCTCATTTCCTGTCACCATCTCACGCCCACCCCTAGCAGCCTCCGTAAGGCAGCCACGGGGCGGCCAGGCAGGCAGGCGGGCCGGGACCTGTGGTTGAGCCCAAGGCCCGGTTCTTCTCACCGGCCCCAGAACCTGGAGGGAGCTGACTGAGCATGAGTTTCGGGTCAGGATGGGAGAACCCTTCACTCACTCCATTCTGGGCGCCGGGTGTGCCCAGGTCTTGCCTCGGGCTGCGGGCTCCTGGTAGCAAGAGGCTGCAGGGAGGGGGAGGGGGAGGGAGGACAGCAGGGCCCTAGGGGGAAGGGAGAGGCTGCTCTCAGGGCGGCTCCAGCCGCTGCTCCGAACCCTTCTTCTGCCTGGGGCTCACCGGCCTGGCCTTGGTGCGGGCCCACCCCCTCCCCACCTCAGCCAGCCAGAGCCATGGTGGCAGCGCAGGACCCATGGCCTCTCCCTCCCCCTTGGCCTCTTGCATCCCCGCCCCTCAGCCCGCTCCTCCATGCCGCCCTTCCCAAGGATGCCTGTTTGTCTCTAAGATCTACACTGCCTGCCCTCTGCTTCAGAACAGCCGGTGGCTCCCCATCGTCTAGAAGCAGACGTTCAAGGTTGCTAGCACGTCCTTCAAGGCCTCTTCCATCAGACTTCGAACCACCTTGCCAGCCTCACCTCGCTCGCCACCTGGTGCTCTGGTCACAGAGCTGCCCTCTGGCCCCCATCACGCAAGCCTCCCGCGGGCTCCGTGCCTCCGACACACTATTCTGTGCATGACGCTCTTCCATCCCTGCCTAGCATCCTTCTCTGTTCTTGAGAGCCAGCTATGAGTTCGCCTCTCTAGAACACCTTTGCGGGAGGAGCACGTCAGTCTTTCCTCTGAGCCCCACAAGGTTCACCGGCCGGGCTGGGCCTCCACGAAGGCTGAGCACCCACCCTTTATGCCTGGCACAGCGGGCAAAAACCCGGTGGGTCGACCGCCCAGGAGCTCCGAGTTCCCCACGTGCCCACGCCCACCGGCCACCCTCTAGTCCCTTGTGACCACGCGCCCTTCGGGACCCCACCCCTACCTCTGCCATTCCCAGGCTGAGCATCCATACCCGAAACGCCTGGGGCCAGAAGTGTTTCGGATTTCTGATTTTTGTTGGATTCAGGAACGTTAGCCTTCTATTTGCTGGTTCGGCATCCCTATTCCAGAAATTGGAAACCCCAAATGCTCCAGTGAGCGCTGCCTTTGAGCGTCATGTTGGCATGCAAAAAGTTTCCGACTTTGGAATAGTTCGGATTTTTGGACTAGGGATAGTCAACCTGTAACACCAGGCCAATTTGTTCTTGGGCTCTTCTGAGTTGATGACCCACTCTTCTGCAAATAAAGAGCGTCTATCTTTTTCTTTCCAACAGGGACTCTCTGGGCCTTGTCATATCTCAGTGTCTGGGGCCCCCAGGCAGAGAACAGAAGAGATCGCAGTGGGGACATGTGTCCTGTTCTGACTTGCCCAGAAATCCTCCTCCTGTCTCCACCACACACGGGGAGGTGCCGGACATGGCTCCCACCAGCTCCTGGGAATTGGTTGCTAAATTTCAGGAATTGTCGAGACCGTCGTTAAGCTGCCATGGCTGGAAACTGGCCACAACAGGAGCCTTTACACCACAGAAATTGGTCAACGCTACGAACCAGAGTCCCCTGTCCGTCTGACATGCCCAGCACATCACTGCCAAGAGTCTTCATTTCAATGTCCCAGCTGTCATCAGAGAGTGGGGCCACAAGGTCTGATGCAGGAGGGTAACATAGCATGCATAGATCACACACAAATAAGAATAATAAGTCCAACCCAGGAGAGCCTCAGATCTACGAGGGGGGAACCCCAAAATTCTGGAATTTATTTGTAAATTTGGATGTATTCTTACACGTCAAAGCTTCAGTCACCTTCCAAGTACTCTTTGTTGGATGCATTCCACCCATCAAGACGCTTTTCCCACGGCTCAAAACAGTTTTTGAATTTGTCCCTTTTGATGCCTTTTAGTGTTTCTGCTGTTTTTTGTTTCACCTCTTCCACACTGGCAAAACATTTCTCTTTGAGGACTTTTTCATCTCAGGAAACAGAAAAAAAAAAAGGTGCCCAGGGTGAGATAGAGTGAATAGGGAGGGAGGGTCACGCTGTTTGGGGCCAAAAACTGCAGAACACTCAGCATGGTGTGGGCAGGCAGGTTGTCACGGTGGGAGAACCAGTCACCTGTTCGCCACAACTTGGGACATTTTTTCTGCAAATCATGATGCAACCTTCTCAAAACTTCCAGATAAAAACTTTGGTTGACCCTTTGATCCGAGGAGCAGGTTCTGAGCGTACTCCAAGGGGTCCGCTTTCCACAAGGTAATTCTATTTTTGGGGGCCCCCTCTCGTAGGCAGAATTGATCATAACTGGGTAAAAATAATCTTAGGATACAGATAATTACTGAAAGAGATTGGAGAATCTTGCAATCGATGGAGAATATATTCAATGTGGTCGGATGCTGCTGCTATTTTTAAATTTATTAACATTATTGCTTTTGAGTTGGGTCTCACTCTCTTGCCCAGGCTGGAGTGCAGTGGCACAATCACGGCTCACAACAGCCTTGACCTCCTGGGTTCAGACGATCCTCCCATCTCAGTCTCCTGAGTAGCTGGGACTACAGGTGCATGCCACCATGCCCTGCTCACATTTTATGTCTTTTTTGTAGAGACAAGGTCATGCTATGTTGTCCATGCTGGTCTCTAACTCCTGGGTTCAAGTAATCCTCCTGCCTGGGCCTCCCAAAGTGCTGGGATGACAGGCGTGAGCCACCATGCCCAGCCAGGTGCTACTGTTATTGTCTGGTGAGTTTAACTTTATTTCCTGAATTAAAATAAAGGCTCATGGGCAGTAGGGTCAGGCCTGGGGCTGGAATGGGTCCCAGCTATGGGGCCGGGAGAAGGAAAGAGTAGACACCAAAGCCAGCAATGACCTGTGTGTGAATCTTGGCTCCACTGCTTTCTGCTTGAGACCTTGGGCAAGCCACCCAGTCTCTCAAATCCTAAGGCCCCGTCTGTGAAATGGGTATACAAAGACCTACCTCGATGTCACTGACTGGCAGACTGGGGCTCCCACTCCCCTGGGCCGCCTCTGGTGTCTTTCTCCTTAGCTCCACACAGGGCTGAGGGGAGTCCAGGCACACTGACCGCGCCCATGGCTCCTGCCCCAGGTCCCTGGTGTCCTGGCACCCAACACTCCCCTCCTGCAGACACTCTCCCCAGAGGCTGGATCCCAAGCACTTCTAGCACCTGTCCCTGAACTTTAAGATCTGGGGCAGGCCCGGTGTGGTGGCTCATGCCTATAATCCCAGCACATCGGGAGGCTGAGGTGGGAAGATTTCCTGAGACCAGCCTGGGCAACTTGGCGAGACCTCGTCTCTACAGTAAATCAAAACATTAGCTGGGCATGGTGGTGTGTGCCGGCAGTTCCATCTACTTGGAAGGCTGAGGTGGAAGGATCACCTGAGCCCAGTGGGTCGAGACTGCAGTGGCCGTGAGCGTGCCATTGCACTCCAGCCTGGGCGACAGAGTGAGACCCCCAACTCAAAAAAAAAAAAAAAAAAAAATCTGGGGCAGAGGAGGCAGGCGGGGGAAGTGGAGCCACAGCAGGGTAGACCAGCATGGCCGGGACTCAGATGCGGCGCCAGTGGACCCAGCCTCTGGAGGCCTCAGGCACCTTCCCGACACCAGGCGGGGGTCTTCTTTATTCCCTGGGACACCCACCTTGTCCCCGACCCATGGTAATCTCCCTGCAGCACCTCGGTGCAGAGATGAAGGCCCTGAGTTAGCCCGGGAGGGTCTGGGCTCAGTCCTACCCGCCCCTGCTAGCGGCGACCGCGGGCAGCCAAGGCGAGAGAAAGACCGCTGCTTGGGGGTCTGTGCCCAATGCCCCTCGGCACGGCCCCACGAACCCTTGCTGCGTCCTGGGGATGCTGGAGGTTCGTGCCAGGCCGACAGCCCAGCCCCCGCACCTGCTGGACCGCAGGCCAGGGAAGGACCTCGCTGCCCCCGTTACCTGTGAAGACGACCAGAGAGACCAGGAGCGACTCATCAATGCCCAGCCTGTCGACCCCGCACCAGTATTTTCCCGCGTCACTCAGGGAGAGGTCCCGCAGCGTCACGGTGAGGGCCAGCTCCTGCGGGTTGTCGCTGAGGGACACCCTGCCGGCCGTGGTCTCCTGGCCTCCGCTCACGTAGAGGGTGCCCGCGCAGCGGGAGAAGAGCAGCCCGCCCTGCCGGCACCAGTATTTGCGGTGGGTCCTGAGCTCTTCCCGGTACGTGCACCGCAGGGACACGGTGTCACCTTCAAACCCGCTGACCGCCTTCGGGCCCTCCAGGGCTTCATAACCTGAAACCACAGCAGGGGTGGGGTTGGAATTCCCGCTGTCCAAGTACCAAGGTCAAGCGCAGAAGCTTCCCTTTTACGGGGAGGAGGGAAGGCTTTCCTCGGTCCCCCCTCCTGGAGACTCCCCTCTCCCCGGGGGGGACCTCAGGGCCGGGCTGTGGCTTTTTCCCTGAGCCCACATGTTGAAGGGTTGGAAGAGGGGGAACGTTTAGCTTCAGACAGCTGTGAATTTGAATCCCAGCACGGCCATCAAGCTGTGTGACCTTCGGGAAAATGCTTGACCTCTCTGGGCCTCTGAGTTTTCTCATCTATGGATGATGATAATGCCCTATTTCATTGAATCTAAGCTGCTATCATCTGTAAGACACACCATCATTTTATGCACCACTAAGAAAAAAACATTAGCCATCAAACAACCCACATCAGTTAAGCTGCGTCCTGACTGTAAGTGTTCATAGGTAAAGACAGAAAACAGGCCTAGGATTTGACCAAAGGCCACCACTCAGCTCTCAGCGTGGCCAGGAGGGGCGCAGCAGAGAGTCGGCCAGGTAGGGGGTGCCCGGTTGGCTCCACGCCTGGTGCCGGGCAGGAGAACGAAGATCAGAGAGGCAGAGCCACCACCGCGACCCCACAGACCCGAGGGCGTTGGAACCCGCACCCGGCTCCGGGTTCCGGGAGCAGCAAATGCCTGCCGGCCTCTGGGGGCCGAGGAGGCTGAGGGGGGTGGGGCGGGGGGAGCTGGGTGGGTCCAGGTCAGGAGGTCCTTCCTCTGCGGACCCAAGGCCGCACCCGCGTCTCTCCCATGCCATGCCCCCTCCCCATCTCACCTGGGAACACCAGGCAGCCCCACAGCAGAACCAGAGGCCGCATGGTGGGTGCCGGGCGCCGGAGCAGGCCGGGAGCTGAGAGCTCGCGGGGGCCGCGCGGGGCCGCGGCTTCCTCCGGACGAGGAGGGGCGGGAGGAGGTGGAAGGAGGGGGGAGGGGAAGGCCGCAGGTCGCCCTCCCACGCCCCGCCAAGGCGCCCGGGCCCTCCCCGGACTTGCCCTGCGCTCCGCCCTGCGCGCGCCTCCCGGCCTGCAGGCCCTGCTGGCGCGTTCCCCAAACGCGCGCCCCTTCCTGGGGGGCTCAACGCGGGCTTCGTGCCCCCCGAGGGCTGGGTAGGTGGAATTCGGGGGGCCTGTGCATTTGGACGGGAGAAAATTGCATGCTGACTCTCACTCGCCTCTGACCGATGGGAAGCTTTCCCTCCTGCTAGGAGTGTCGTCAGCAGCGCCTGTCACTCCGGGACCCGCAAAAACCGCAGACACAAGCACATCCAGTGGCCGCCGTGTCTCCGAATTCCAGAATTCCCCTCCATGCCCGGAAAGTCATTAGGCGGTAGACCTGCCCCCGCAGCCGGTCGCTTAAAACGCCAATAGCGAAGCATGTTTATTGCTCTGGGACACAATCATAAATAGTTTGAAGGCCAGGCGTGGTGACTCACACCTGTAATCCCCGCACTTTGGGAAGCCGAGGCGGGAGGTTTGCTTGAACCCAGCCTGGGCCACGTAGGGAGACCCCGTCCCTACAAAACAATTAAAATTAAAATAAAAAAAAATAGCTGGGCGTGGTAGCATCCCCCTGAGGTCCCAGATACTCGGGAGCCGGAGGCGGAAGGATTGCCTGAGTCCAGCAGGTCGAAGCTGCAGTGAGCCATGCCCATGCCACTGCCCTCCAGCCTGGGGGACGGTGAGACTCAAGAAATAGTTTGGGAACCACTTACGTAGTATTAGTTTTCTCTCATGCGCATGCACTTCGTTGCATGTATTTATGGGCCATTATTCGAAGAGGGGTCCACAAACTTCACTAGGCGGCCATGGAGTCAGCGGGACAGGGATTAAGGGTCCCGAGAGCCCCTCCTCGGCCAGCGCCTCCCGGGCGCAGTACCGCTCTTGGTCAGGGGGCGGCGGTGCGGGCGCGGCTGAGCCCCCCCAGCCTGCCCAGAGGTCGGGGCGTCTGCAAAAGTGGAGGCAGTGGTCTCCCTTCCGCAGACTGGAAGGCTCCCGGCAAAGAACAAAACAAGCGCGCACCCAGGAGGGAGCCCTGACTGTTTTCCAAAATAACTGTCACTTTTTGTTTGCTTGTTTCTGATGGCAAAGTGCGTACAAGTTGTCAGCAAAGCTTTAGACAATACAGAAATGAAAAAAAAAAAAAAAAAAAAGGAAAGAAAAAGAGAACCGGGAACATTTCCTGTAATCTCCCCTTTGCTTTAGAGAGTCGCCGTTAATGGTTTGGCATCCATCCTTCCCAGTGCACGGCTGGAATGTCATCCACCGGGCAGGTTCCTATGGGGCGCATGGACTCGGCGGGCCCGGGAGTGGGGCTCGTGTGTGACTCTGGAGGGGTGGGGGGATGCGAGCTCATTTCACTGCCCCCCACCCCTCGCTGTGCAAGGGGCAGGGACAGCCATTCACAGCGGAGAGAGTCTTGTCACCCTGATCCCCCCCAGAGCCCGACTCCATGACGTGTGCAGATTGCAAAAGGGAACCTGTTTGTGCAGTTTAAAATAAGCACAGTTCGGCAGCCCCCTCGAGTCCCCTCCCACTGTGGGCGCTTTTCTGTCCTCTCGGTAAATCCTGCTTTAAAAAAAATAAATAGGCAAACAGATGAAAATGTTTACCACCACAATAGGAGGCATGTCTCTGCTCTTTTATTCCTTTATTTTTGCCCTTATGCAGAATAATTCCCGATCGTCAACTTTTCTTAAATCCCAGCTTCTCCATGACAAGCAGGGTCAAGCATCTGACACTTCATATGTTTTGTAGCGTCATGGGACCCGAGCTCTGACACACTGAAATATGTGTTCTTGGGCTGTAAAAATTGCTTTGCTTTTATTTTCCCTCCCTAGGACAGCTCAGGCATTATACTGTGATTTTAAAAAATTAAGTGGGCAAGAAGGCATATTATTTACGATTGCCCCTTCAGGAGAACAAGGGAGGTGTTGCCAAGTGGTTATTTTTATGAAGAGGGTGTTGGGGCCAGGCATGGATGGTGGCGCACGCCTGTAACTCTAGCACTCAGGGAGGCTGAGGTGGGAAGACTGCTTGAGCCCAGGTGTTCGAGACCAGCTTGAGCCATGTAGCAAGACCTCATCTCTACAGGAATTTAAAACATTAGCTGGGCCTGGTGGTGTGTGTCTGTAGTCTCAGCTACTCAGGAAGCTGAGGTGGGAGGATTGCCTGAGCCCAGCAGGTCGAGGCTGCAGTGAGCCATGACTGTGCCACTGCACTCCAGCCTGGGCAACAGAGTGAGACCCTGGCTCAAAAAAGTAAATAAAGAAAGCGGGTATTGGGTCTCGTGGCGTCACCCCTGCACCCTCCCTGTATATCGGAGGCCCCTCCCTCCACTCCCCGGCCCCACACCTAGCCCAGGGGCCGGCCTTGATTACCCCAATGGAAACAGGTCTGCCAGACCGGGAGGTGGAACCAGCACGGGGGACAAGGCAAAAGTGAGGTGTGGGCTTCGCTCCCGGTCCCAGCTGCGGGCCACAGCCCGGGGTGGCCGGAGCCGATGATGGGCTTGGGGACCAGAGAGGAGAGGGGATGCTGTGAGGTGCCTCTGCTCCTGGGAGGGGCTCTCAGCAGCCTCAAGGTGCCTCCCAAAGTCTCCATGTCCTGGGGGTGGCTCAGCCCTGCCTGGAGGCGCCACAACAGGGATAGGGGACCCAGTGGTTTGGCCTTGGATGCTCATCCTAGCCTAATTCCTCTCTGGTTTGGGCCTTGCTTGGACCAGGCCACTTCAGCCGGTCTAAGATGGGAATTTGTATTGCAACACTATTCACAATAGCCAAAACATGGAACTAACAACCATGCTGCCCAGCAAAACTGGACTGGATAAAAAAAAAAAAATGTGGTACATATACACGATGGAACATTACGCAGCCATAAAGAAGGTGCATATGGACGAACATATGGACTTTGCAGCAACTTGGATGGATTTAGAGTCTATCATACTCAGTGATCTGTCACAGAAACAAAGAACAGAGTACCACATGTTCTCAGTCATAAGCAGACCCTGGACATTTACCATAATACTGTAAGAAAGGGATTGGTGACCGGGCATGGTGGCTCGGCCTGTCATCCCAGCACTTTGGGAGGCCGAGGCGAGAGGATTGCCTGAGCCCGGGGGTTTGAGACCAGCCTGGGCAACTTGGTGAGACGTCGTCTCTACAGTAAATCACAAAAATTAGCTGGGTGTAGTAGTGTGTCCCTGTAGTTCCAGCTACTTGGAAGTCTGCTGCCCTGGATAGCCATCACGCCCGCCATAGGTTTGGAGTGAGCAGGAGACCGGTTCCTCCGTGTTTAGCCGGGGAAATTCAGAATGTGTTTGTTGCTGCAAGTGCAGCCTGGACCGCCACGCTTGCTGTGTTTTCTTCCACATACCCGGACTCTATTCTGCCTACAGCTCTTCCATTGCCAGACAATTGCAAACTCAACTGATCAACTTCCTTCACTGAAACAAATAGGAAAATTCACTTTCAGGTTTTTTAATGTTGACTTTTCTGAGCACTTTTTACTTGTAGGATGGATAGTGAAAACAGCGCGGGCGGGCAGTCGTGAGAGACTGGTGATGAGGACCATCCTTTCTCAGAAACCTGGTGACGTAGAGATGTATTCTTAATACCTTCTCAAGAACATCGGAGACTCACTGCAGTGTGTTAATCCAATGTATCTTGGATTGGATCTCAGGGCGGAGGAAGAATATTAGTGGAAAAACTAGAGAAATGCGAATAAAGTCTGGGGTTTAGTTAACAGTAACATACCCATGTTAAAGTCATAGTTTGGACAGATGTCCCACGGTGATGCAAGAGGTCAGTATTAGGTGACATGGAGGGAAGGGTGTTCAGGGACTCTCTGAGCTATCTGCAACTTTTCTAAACATCCAAAATTATTCAAAAATATAAAGTTTATGGAGAAGAAAAGGCGTTGCAGAGCTAACAAGAGCAGGGGCTGGGCCCAGGAGATGAGCTCACCATCCAAGGTGCTTTTGTCCTTGGGGTCATTTGCTGATTCGGAAGCAGCAGAGGGGGTGGGCTATGAACTTAGGGGACCCCAGGGTGAGGAATGGAATCTGATATATATATATATGTTTTAAAACCTCGTTAGACTGGGCCCCAAAAGGGCTCTACTTTGGGAAAAACACCAGGCCACTGTGAACTTCCACTCAGCTTCCTGTTACTAAGGTGACTAGGGAAGCTTCAGGGTTTGAACTTGAACATGAAGTGGTTCTGGGGTCAAGCACAGTGGCTCACACCTGTGGTCCCAGCTACTTGGGAGGCTAAGGCAGGAGGATAGCTTGAGTCCAAGAGGTTGAAGCTGCAGTGAGCTGTGAAAATCAAAGTGGTCTTTATCAGGTCATGCCCATCCCATTCCTACCCTCAGGTACCTTAAAGATACCAATGAAAAATCCTTTCTGGAAGAAAATACCATCCATTCAAGCCTCAAATTATTTTCACAAATAATTTTTCAAATACAATCCAGTATGTAATCAAAGGTCACCAGATCTATGGGGAAACAAGACTCCATCCCTAAGAGGAGACCATGGGTGACAGATGGGACACACAGCAGGAATGGCCTTGACACAGCCTTGCTGGCTGTGTTCAAGGAGGTAAAGATCAAGCCTGGCACTGTTGGCAGGGAACCGGAAAGTACGAGAATTGTCAGCAGATGTGAAGACAGAACCCAAAAATTCTAGAATGGAAAAAATACAGCAATTAAAATTGAGAGTCCAATGGATGGGGTTTAAGCAGATTAGACACAGCTAAAGAGAGCACCAGAACCAGAAAGGTATATCAGAAGAAACCTTTTCACTCACCAGGAAGCTGAGTGAA